CCAGATTAGACTTTGCCAAAAAACATCTAAAAAAGCCAGAGCACTTCTGGAAAAGCATACTTTGGACTGCTGAAATTAAGATCAACCTGTACCAGAATAATGGGAAGAAAAAAGTATGGAGAAGGCTTGGAACAGCTCATGATCCTAAGCACACAACAGGATATACTCTCTGCCCAGATTCAGCCAAATGCAGCAAAATTGATTGGACATCGCTTAATAGTACAAATGGACAATGACCCAAAACATACAGAAAAAGCAACCCAGGCATTTTTAAAGGGAAAAAAGTGGAATATTCTGCAATGGCCAAGTTAATCTACCGATCTCAACCCGATTGAGCTGCATTTCACTCGCTGAAGACAAAACTAAAGGCAGAACGACCCACAAACAAACAACAACTGAAGTCAGCTGCAGTAAAGGCCTGGTGGAGAAAGCTGAGACAGAAACTCAGGGTGCAAGGTGCAAACCAAGTGGTTTTCAAAGTGCAAACCCTGCATTTCTTCGGCAGAAATATTTGCACGCTTGAGTGGCAGTTTCATTCACCGGGGAGCAACAGTCAGCAAATAAATGTCTCAATATATAACATCTACATCAACCACTATACTTCAGGCAAAGACTTGCCTCCTTGAATTAATTGGTAAATAGATTTGTGTCAAACCATGACACGCAATTAACTTTACTAACGCTTAAAGCAAACTCTAGAGTTTATTAATACTGATTAAAAGTGTTAACAATATCTATATCATGTCCAGCATACATCCATACCTCAAAACTGCAGAAAATCGCTCACCTAAGGGATTGTAGTCGAGGTTGAGGACCCGTAACTGTGAGCTATGAGCCACGGCGATGGCCAGTCGAGCCCAACCCTGCGTGCTGACGGCTGGGTTGGCACTCAGTGTAAGCTCTTTAAGCCCTGTGCAGTATTATCGATCGCATAAAACAGCATTGTTAATTCACTACAGATCCAAGCCTGCTGCTAGATTTAAAACTACTACTACAGTCTTTTTCATTTGGATATACATTATTCATAGAATTGTACCAATTTTCCCAAATTACACACCAAAAACCACTCTCAAAATCAATGAAAACCATACACACGGTCTTTATCAGTGTTTTACAATCCGAATATCAACATTTGGAAGACTTAGTCATTCAAAACAGTTTTGAGGTTAATTAATCTAATTTCGCATCTCTGGAAAATAGTGAACTATGACATTATACTATGTAGAATATCAAAAGCCATTTAATACATTTTGTAAAGGTAAAAGAGGGCTTCTTGCCCCAGGTTGGGTGCCATCATGCCCTTCTTTGAATAATTTTACATTTCGTGCTATGACAACAAAAATTAGCAAATATATCCATTAATTTTCCTTAGGAATACATCATCTGGCTCATGCATCATCATCCTCCATATGCTAAACTTATATCTAAATATGTGACAGTTTCAAGATAAATGTACATTCTTCTTATTTCCCCCCATCTTACCATATATCAACTACAGAAAACAGGCCATTTCATTTATTATTCAATAAAAGTGAAGAAAATGTGTTTCAAAACATGTTTTTCTATATTAAAGGCAGGGTATGTGATTTTTCAAAAACACTTTAGAAAACTGATTCGGGCCGAATAGCAAAACAAACTTGTAGCCAATCAGCAATAAGGGGCGTGTCTACTCGTGATGTGGAGGAGAGAGCTTTCAGTGCATGGGACGGACATTAGCCGAGCCGAGCGACAGAAAGATAGAGATGGCGGATAAAAAAACAAAAGAGGAAAACGTCTGCGGAAAGATAAGGCAAGAAGTAGGACCCGTGTAAAATATTGGATCAGCTTACTCTGTGTTCACAGTGACAATGTGCCAAAGCGCTGAGAGCTGTGGAGTTTGGAGAGTTTGTATTGTATTGTATTGTTTGTAGAGTGGTGTATTGATTCAGCCAACTGAAAAATACTATAATATTCACTAAAAACTCTTAACATAATGTATAATGTGACTAACTGCTTATTTAAGCTTAATGTATCACTACAGTTTTTTGTATGGAAACTGTCTTTAGTAAACACTGTTTACTGGTAAAGCTGTGATGTTTTACCTGATTTGGCTCCATCCGGAGGAAGCATGCCACAAATGAGGCGAACTGCCTCATCTCCCAGCATGCAGTCCCCCAAATCCAAGGACACCAGTGAGGGGTGAGTGGAGAGGGCTCCATTCAGGGTGACCAGTCCTGCATCTAGAAGTGGACTTCCGTGGAGACTGTAAAGGCACAGGAAAAGCGCACAGAGACAGACATTATTTTCTGTGCTACATTTGCATTCCCTGAAGAAAATGCTTTCAAGACCACAGAAGTGTTTGAACTGTTGGTTCTGCGTTACAAAATATATATATATGTCACAGCAGAATCACTTTGCTGTCGTCAGACTCTGTTTTCTGCCAGATGTGTACAAAGAATAAACAAATTAAGGATTATGTGTGACTTTTTAAAACACAAGTAGTTAAACTAATTAAAAATTAGAGGTGAAATCACTATAACACTTGACCACAGATGTTGTAAGTATCTGTATTCTGTAGCCAGAATGATAAGATTTACAGGAAGAAAAAAAACACGACTGAAGGTTGTGACACTTCCCAATATAGCAAATGAATATAGCCTAAATAATACATTTGACAAACACAATAAAAAAAACAAAACAGTGAGTTTGTAAAAAGACCAATCACAATTCAGTATGCAAACGATCTGAGACACTGCAGCCGCTGATATTACAGTGACGTAATCGAAAGCCCTTGGAACTGGAGAGCAAACATTCTAACAATGTGTCAATAGAAGATCTTCAAACTTTCATTTCATAAACACGAGTAATATTATATACAGTACATTTAAAAAAAAACAGATAAATTAAGAACTCATTAAAAAAAATTAACAGAAATGCAGAAATTATTTTAGCGCATTGCTGGGGTTTCATTGCAGCTACTAGCCTGTATTTTGTTGTACAATGCACATATTTACTCATTTAGCGGACGTACAAATGAGGAACATCGCACTAGCTAAGGCAGATAGCCTATTGGATGTGGTTTGGGGGTTGCTTATTTGTCAAAGTCAAAAAGCCCACCAGTGATATGTGTTTTCGAAATGTCTCGACTCCGTTCTTCAGTTTAAGTCTGCTATTGACTGACTGACAGGAAACTTCTCCTCAATAATAGCCTATCGCTATAAATATGCGCGATGATGATAATAACAGTGACTAACTAAAGAATCCTTAAAGAAGCACTCACAAGAGGGTCTGGAGGGATCTGTTGGCCTTCAGAGCATCTGCCAGCTGCTTGGTCCGGCCGATGGTGGACACCACGCCGAGGTTGAGGTTGAGCTGCGCGAGAGAGTGCGACTCCGCCACGCCGCGACACACGCGGCCGAAGTCCCGGTCAGACAGCTGGCAGCCGCGCACCGACAGCAGCCGCACGCTGTTCTCCTTCAGACTGTCGCATATGTCTTTGATCTCCGCGCCGGACAGCGCCTCTCCCGTGATCTGAATAGAGCCCGGCAGCATTTCGGTGGTGTCAAGCTCGATTAACGGGCATTATGGATCCTGGAGGTCGGATCCGCGGCGTCTAATCCGGTGCGCCAGGCTCGGAATATCGCGGAAGGAAGGTGTGGTGCTGCTGATGCTGCGGTCTACTTCAGCGTTGTGTGCGTTTGCCTCCCGACATGCTGGAGGATCCTCAAGGCTGTGAACCCAAGATGATGCTGGTGCTGTCGGTTACTCGATATAACGTCGCTCGCGTTAAATTGTTCCCATCTCACCAACGAAACGGGCTTTAGGCGACTCTAGGTTTGAGGTAATCCGCATGACAGTTGATGCTGGGATTGGCCACAAGGAGCGAGCGCGTCTGTGCCGAGCGCCAGTGTAGTGAACGGAAAATGGGCGCAAGGTAAAGAGTGTAGGCTGTATGGATGATTACTTGGGTCTTGGAAGTAGGTTGTATCTATTGCATGAAATAGAACACCGGGGCAAGTTGTCACACACTTCACCCTAGTGATGATTGTCAGCGTAGGTTTATTTTACAAAGTGTTTCTGTACAAATCAAGTTCTCACTACGAATAAATAAATACAAAAATTATTTTCACAGTTATTGCTCATGAAAAAAAAAATATTTTCAATATTTACAGTTAGCCTAATTTAACACTGTAGTGGGATGTAAATTTTCAAAGTGGGGAAATGCCTATATAGGTTTTGCAACAGAATGTAAACGTTTGAAGCAACACAAAATAACATAACTTATTTGAAACAAATGAATTTGTAACACATAAAAAATGTAAACATAAATCTGTAATTCTTTATAAAATCATATAAAACGTGACAATTGCCCCGACCTGACATTTTTTGAAAAATGTATTTTGTTCTGACAGTTTAACCACTCAGTTAACCCTGTAATATCTGACACGTGAAATTGTCAAATAAATTTATTTTTATTTTTAATGAAACTTGTTTATTGAACCTTTAGATACAATCTAAAAATATGCACTTAAGAAAGAAAGAAAAGTTTGCATATATTTGCATGTGTTTGAATATTTGATACTTCAGGCTTTTATGGCTCATAGCAGAACATGGAGCTCATACAAAAAAATGTTTATTCAGAGGCCCAAACTGAACTAAAATATGCAATTTGGTGCAGTTGTTATATAAAATTCTGATTGCATGTAATGTAAATCAATATTTCATAACAATAGCAGGCTTAAAATGCATATAAA